TCTTTAACTAATACAGCTCTTATTTTTTTCTATCTAGGAACATTCTCTAAATCTCTCATTAGTCTCATTATTTTCTTCTAAACTGGCTCAGATCGGTCTCCACATTTACTCAAAATATACTAAATATGACACCATACTCCAGATAAACTCTGCTCTGTGCAGCACAGCTAAGCAAGACTTCATATGGTTACAGGCTCTACTTCTATGTACACATCCTCATACAGCATCTGGCATTTCCCTTTTTCACAACAATGCTACAATTTTGACACACGTTCAGCTTAGAGATTGTTGTTCCTTGGTATTCTTCATGGTATTTGGAACAAAGCTAGCTAAAAGTCATCACTATTAAGGAAGAAATGAGAAACTGATTGCACTTCTCCAAGCTGTGCTCATTTTTGTTGATAATCTATTGGCAGCACTAACAATTTAAATCTGGATCACCATTCCTTTCTCTGAAATTATTCAAGAAAATATCTTGCACTTGCTCAATGGAAGTTATTACAAGAAGTGTCTTTAAAAGCCTAACTTCCTTAAGAGAAAGTATCTTAATGATACTAATATAACAGTTTTATGAACTTTTCACCACAATTTGGGAACGTAGTTAATTTTAAAAAGTATCCAGATCAATGCTTCACATTTTTAGATCAACTTCTCCTCTTTTCTGAAATTGTACAAGTCCCTTGCTTCCAGTTTAAGAACAACCTACACATGCTTTGGAATTATTACGCTACTTAATGAATTCCAAGGTCATAGTACTCTGTATTAAGTACATATTTATGAATACAAAACAATTGGCTATAAATACATTAGGATCAGCAAACTATTAACACATTGATTTAAGCACCCACAACAAACTTCTACAACAAACATGTACATACCTTCCCCATAGTATAATGATTACTTTTCTGTAACGCAAAGAAATCAATTATACCTCATAAAATGCCAAAATTAGTTAGATATTGAAGTTTTATTCTGCATATATATTAATACTTATTTTGCCCAACACTCCAGGGAAATCCTCTGGCATAGCCAGCTTGGGTGCACCTGCTCTCTCAACCCTGCACATGGTTTCAGTAACCAAAGTCTGCAACAACCACTCATTCCCCTCCCTGAGGCACCAACTCTGTTTATGGGGAAGGGCTCTGTGGAACTGGCTGTGTGGAACCAAACCATCTCCAGTGCAACACTGAAGCTAGCACCAAGCAAGCGGCATGTTCAAATATTTCTGCAGCAGCCTACTGTCAAGCTCTAACCTGATATTTTATAACACCACTTCTCACAAGCTTTTAATTCAGCCACAGCAGAAGGGGTCTTCTCTGGGACAACACATTCTTTGCCAAACCAACTAGGCTTTGAAATATGGTAGTGGTCATAAAACATTATTTAATAAAGGTAAACTACCTGTATCTTACTTAATTCTTCTGCAGAAATACCTAGCCTATTTTTATTAAAGCTTCAGAAAGTCAAGGCAATACATTTGCAACTATTTCACCTTAAAGAACTGAAGTCAGGCAGTTACTACCAGCCAGCAATCCCTCTAAAACACTACCAATTCTGTCATACACTGCAATAGAGGGCACTCTATCTTTGTTCTCTTAAATCTCCATTATTTTTCTGTACTATGATATAAGATACTGTTTCATGGTATTATGTAGTCCCCTGTTTCATAGCATTACCCTGTTTCATCATGTAATCACGATGCATAACTGCAATTAGCTTTAGTATAAACATCAGAATTAAAAATTTTCAAAAATATAGCCAGCATTTTGTACACAAGACAGATTTGTACATATTCTTAGAACTGCAAAATACATTAAAGTATATTCATATCCATTTTTTACTTTTTCCAAAAAATCTTTTGTGTACTGGGGATGTAATAAAGAAAAAAAAAAATCCTTGTCTGCTCTTTTCAAATGCATCTGATTTTCTTTTCAGAACATTACTGTGAGCGCATAGAACCAGACAAAGCAAGATGAGTGGATAGAAGACACTGTAAAGCTTTCTACAGTTCATGCATGCTTGCTTAATTTTATTAACTTTTTACTTTAAATATAAGCAAAATTAAATTTAGAAGTCCCTCCATACTTTCAGAGATTTTTCCCTGCACTTTCAGCAAGACTGTTACAACTTTACTTGTTGATAACTTTCTCTCTTCCCCACAGTTGTATTTGCATCTGCTTTAGCTAAAAAATCCAGTTCCTTATAAAATATGGGGTTTTTTTCCTTAAAAAAGCTGGGGGAGGCAGGGGCAGAGGAGCAGTTCATGATTAAACAAGATTATCATACAAACTTACAGTTAGCAATAATCACACTCTAAAATCAGGGATCAATCCCACAAACTTCACTGCCTTCTTTTATTTCTTACTCATAAAACTGTTTATATGAATTTCTACATCAAAAAAAGGAGGCAGGGGGGAATAACTGTTGGCCATAAAAAAATTCAACTAAAATTAACCTAACAGACATTACACCAAAATCAAGCATTTTAATCTCTGGAAATCCTAATTAAAGTGCAACTTTAAAAAAAAAAAAAAAAAAAAAAAGACACAAAAACTCTCAATAAGGTCATTTAGAAAGCCTTTGTCTTTCCCAGAAGGGACACTATGACAAACACACAGTTACAGCTGAACATTTTAACATTTGTGAATCTAAATCTGAATGAACTGATGATTAAAAACACTGCAATTTGCAGCCTGGTCTTTATAGGAAAAAAATAGACACGGTAACGCTTCTAGGTATGTAAATCAATTAATCCTTTCATGGTAATTTTGAACTTATTAGTCATGCTTAAACTAAATTTGACTAAGAATTTGCAGACTCATTGACATGAAATTCTTACCAGCTTTGTGAAAACCGGTACTGTGGAAATACATTGCTCTGCTAAATAGGCTGCATTGTAGGCTCAAGTCTTATCAGAAATCTGTGGATCCATTGGAAAGTGTTATGAAAGCCTTTAAAATAGAAAAGGCATAAATTAGCATGTAATCTTTCCTGGACACCAGCAAATCCAACCCCAAAATTCAGGGTTAAGTTTGGTTGCAAGAGTAAGGTTTCCAGATACTGCATTCAATCTCAAAGCACAGGGCTGAGTTCAGCTAACTGTTCACGTGACTATTTCCCACACACTCCCTTTAACTGTGTGTATCATCCTAGCTAAGGACAATAAGATGTTTTTTACCTGGTCATCTGTGCTTTCCACGACTTGAAGAACTGAGAGCTCTTTAAGGTAATTACAACACACCGTTCATCAACTTAAATTACTGGGCTATACTGTCAATTAATTAATTAATTCTCAACACATCTTTTATCTGATAATTTTATTTTTATAATAATTTTTTTATGCATTAGCACTTAACAGAAACCTGAAGAGAATATTGTCATCAGACATTTAACGTAATTTGAAAATATGAAGCAACATTTATTCATCAATTCTTTAACTGAACTTTAAAGCCAGATAGGAAAAAAACCAAATCAACATTCTCTGCCAAATCAACACGCAGTAACATAGCCATCTTTTCACTTTTTATCACTTCCTGCCTACAAACACCAGTTTTCCCCTCCTTCCTGAATCCATCTAGCTTTCTGCATTGCTCCTTCCTCAGTAAAAGCAGTGCTAGGTCCTCTCAACTCCTCTTTTATACACCCTTCTGTGAATCCTTTTACATCATTTCTATCTTCCTCTTATGTCAAGGGCAGCTTTACACACCCAAGGAAGACTGAACTAGATTATCACAAGTTAAAGGATGAAGTATAAAAGAGCTAAGAAGGTACAACCTCAGATTTAGACCTCATGGCATGGCACACATCTGATCATGCACCAAGAGAACAGCTGCCTCCCACTAATGTAGTTCCAACCATTCATGTCATCACTTGGTCCTTTGGCCTTTATGTGAGATAAGGTATTAGCTTCCTCATTAATTATCACCTGAGAATATTCCAAATAAGAAACTGTACTTCCCAGTAAATACTCTCAAGACAATTTCAATAGATTTCATCAGACAGCTTTTGCAAGTTTATGCTATACTAAAACAAATAGTTTCAGGATTCTCTGTATAGTGACCCAACAGTCTTAGTTATAATAGCCTTCAGTTGAAAGGTTGTGTGTTAAAAATAGTATTTTTCCTCAGCTTTGCATCTACGTACAAAGATTTCAAAATTCACGCCCCATAGCTATACTTAAGTTCCTTGAATTTTAACAAAACATGCACAAAACTAATTATTTGCAGCTTTCTCTCAATAATAATAATATATTCTCAATAAATGTTTCTGTCCTTTGATCCAGTAACAGCAGTACTTGTTTAATGAAAATCTGATTAGTTAGTTTTAGTGCTCACAACTTTGAAAAATTATGCTTGGTGTTCTATCCCTTTATCACCTCAAACTGGTAGAATCTAGTGAAGCATTGATTTTATTATTTTTTTAACTGAAATCTCTAAAAATAATAAATATATAAGGCAAATGTAGAAAGGAAGCATGTTTACATAAGAAAATATACAGAAGTTAAAGCAATTGCCTGTAGAGCTTAAGCTTTATCTCTGCATGCATGCCTAGGGGCTCCAAAGTTCTGCCATGTTATATAAACGATATGAAATATTCCATTTATTTTGTTTAAAACATACTTTAAACCAAAATAATAGCACAGGTACTTTATTCTAAATATATTTTTATGGATATTTACTGAATCTTGATGAATTCTGAGAGGAGTTATGAGTTATTTGATTCAAATTTTGACATACCATTCCAAAACTGCGTGAAAATACTCAGCTTCACAATTACTACAAAGAATAAAAAGAGCTTATGCTCTTAAATCCTTTCATGGGATTTACAGTGAAACAGGAGAGTCAAAAAAAAGCTGATGAATTTTCATTCTTAACTAGTTTTTCTTATTTTCAATATAAATTGCAGTGGTTTATTTCATCTTGCATATAAAAGCCTTACACATGAAATTCAGGTATAAATTAGTTTTCAAATAGTAGGAAAAAGCTGAAGTGCCATTACCTCCTTTTCTTCCTGTAATTCTATTACTTTGTGGTACCATGGGATGAAGAAGTCATATATTTTCTTGCTTTTTTTTTGTTGTTGTCATCATCATTTTCATAATGCAGTACAGTTTCCCTTTAGAAAGTTAAAGGAAAAATTTGTGAGTCTTCATTTTTAAATGTTCATCTAAATACATTTAGTGAAAACCTATTCTCCTATTACAAACAGCTGCTGCTTGCAATAACTAATGAAAGCATAGATTACTCACTAATGGGAGGGATCCCACAATACTGTACAATTATGCTGTAAACCCAAAGAAGCAACACAAACCATGTTTCAGAAATGGCAAAATCATACAACTACGACCACAGGATGACTCTAACAACCACTCAATGGAAAAAATAAAAAGCATACAGAAAAGACAACATACGTTACCCTAACACGTGTAAAATAAAGCTTCAAGTGAGTCATGATTCTCTGACACTAATTATGAGGCTCAACACTGAAATTAGCCAAAATACACCTATCTATATGACAAATTTTGAAAACTCTTTTGGTAGTACAACTCTCTAGAGAGTCCTTTTATGATTAATTTTAGGATAAAGACTTTAAAGGAAATAATTTTAAATACACAAATAGTTTTTATGACCACTTCAAATGACACTCCAGTAAGTCTGGCCAAGAGACTGGAAAGTATTTAAACCATGACAGATGCTTGCACAGCAAATTAAGACCAACCAGCCTACAGATAATGCATGCTACATTTCATTTTTTAAATTTCTATCCAACTTCTCATTAATTTATTGCTGTAGTCTCAAAACTTGGGGTCTAATCAGTTAGCATACTTAAGTATATGGACATAAGTAATCTTTATTTTTAATTTTATTCAAAACTTCCTTAGACCCAGGCCTCTGAAATACGCGTAGAAACCCATCTGTTCAGGCACAAACATCAACATTCAGCTAACGTCATATAAACCAAAAGCACCTACAAGGCTTAAGAGCCTATATTACAAATAGGGAATTTAGGCATTTAAGGTCAGGATCAGAGATGCAAACTGGCAATGCTCTGCAGTCATAGGCTTGGCATTTACAGGACAAACTTACGTGCTTAAGTGCCTTTTATAACAGAGCGTTACTTGCTTACAAACAATTGACATCAGGCAGCATATTGATCACATTGCTTCTTAAACCAGCCACCAGAGACATCAAGAGATATTAAAATTTTGTCTTTCCCAAACTTTTCATACTAACTTTCTATTTGACTTTACATTTGAGAATAGGATGCACAAACTGAAACCTGAAGTCTTCTTTTTGTTGTTTTTAAAAGAAACTAGAGCTGGTCATTTGTATGTGTAAGACATACAAAGGAAGAAGCAGTGGTCTACCCACATTTTCTAGTATCTTAATGAGCACCTGTACAGTAGTAGAAATATGTAGTGTACAGTATCTTAATGAGCACCTCTACCAGGAAGTTACAGACACAAATGAGATGCCTTTCTCTTAATATAAGCTCAACTAGGAAAAATATTTCCTTATATCCTTTTTGATGATGAATGATTCAGAAGTCAAAGAGACTGGACTAAATTAAGGATTAGTTAAATAAGGATTAACTTCAGCATTTGCCCTGCACCTTTCACTCAGGATCTTAAATTTCACCATCACTTTGACCTCCACACCCCCAAAGAATTGTTCCTTTTTCATCAGTAACAACCCCAGCAAAGCACCTCTCCTAGCTCTGACTTGCTCAGGGATCTGCTTAGCTGTATCCCATAGGGCATGGCTCTGAATGGGTAAGGGGCTCAGAAAAGCCAAGCTGATTGATATTCAAGAACTCTTCTCAAAGTACATTCTCATGTGCAAAAAGGCTATCAAATGTGGCAGAATACCAGCCTGGATGAGTCAAAAGCTCAACCATGTTACTGAAAGTTGATCATATTTTTTTTACAACCCATCAAGTATAACGTAAATTGGCTTTCAGTAAAACAAACCTTTTAAGATGTGTTTGCTGTGCTGAAACCCCAGCAAAATTAATAACTGTAAGGACTGCATTTCCAGTGAAACAAGCAGAAACGTCTGCATACGTGAAAGGAAAGCCTTGCTAAGGAACAGCAAATGAGCCTGACTGCTACAAACAGAAAGGCTAAAAACATAAGACAATTAAAATATATTAACACAATGCAGATAAAACTGAAAAATATAACAAACTAATTCTAAAGAATAAACATAACAATTTTGGAACAGATTACAAAAATAAAATATCCTGGTACATTTTTGTCATATTGTCCAGGTCCTGGCCCTTCCTGAGGCTTAAACACACTTTCCAGTTAAAATAATAAAATGTATTTGTTTATATTTCAGGGCACTATAAGTAAGATCCTAACATAAATGGAAGGGAAAAAAAATTTAAGTCAAAGAATTTTCCAATTCTTAGACTCATTTTTGCCCTAGCTACAAAGCACAGCTAAAATATGTAACAGCTGCCACCCAAAAATAAAGTATAAACTTTACTTACATGATTGTAGCAAATCTCATACGTAGAGATTTTTTTGCTACTTATACCAAAATCACAATAAAAACCACTCAGTGGTTTAATTTTATTACATAAAAAAAGTCCTCCCAGCAAGTTCTCACCTCATTTCCTCAATCACACAATCTCCAACTCCCTCAGTCTCATAAATATTTGTCTTCTACAAATAGTAGTTGTGAAAATAACAGTTCCCTAATAACATGTTTGTTTCACTAACAACATTGTGATGGGTAATGCTGAAACTAAAGAGAACAAGAACTTTAGTTATCAGCTAAGAGAGCTTTGAGGATTTACAACTCCAGTGCAGTCCAGAAGGTAGGCAGCTTGTGATTTCAGACAGCATTTAAACAAAAACTATTCCTCCAATGAAAAATGCTTTCTCACTTATTCAAGTTAGATTTTTCATTTTAAGAAGCAGCTTTGTATAGGAATTAAGTCAAACACAGCATATCAAGCAAAGAACAGGTATCTCTCCCAGAGATGCAGCGATGATCGCCACAGAAAGTACTGATTAACAATTTATCTTCAAACTACATGACCAGAATGCATAAAAATGGCAAATGTAACCAAATTCAGGTTATCACTGTCCACATCAAGCAGTTACAGACCCTGTTCAATGGACCACTCATCTGTCCAAATACACCTTCTGCATACATCTACATATTTATCTTTCAAGCTGTCAAACACACACCCGGTTATCTTCTCTTCAACAGATTTTATGGAAGTTAGACCAGAAGCAGTTCCATTTAATGTGAAGTATATAAAAAATTTTCAAATTTTCTGTTCATATAGTGTCATTTTTTTATATAATGTGCTTGTGTCATACTACTCCCCCTCCCCAAGCTGGGGCCTAAATTGCCGGTTTCCAACATGAATGCATTTATACAGCAGTCATGAGCTGTAAACGGCTGAAGCAAATGTAATAAGCTGGATAGAACACATCTACTTTGACTTACAAAGTCAGTACAGATATTTGCTTTCACTTCATTACTAACTTTTCAGCTTCATGTTCAACTCTATGCATATATTTGAAATTCAGTCGACTATTAAAGGTCACCCTGCATTAGTTAAAATAATGCAAAAACCACAAACAGTAAACTACTGGAATCCATAGTAGATCTTAGAGGGGATAGCATGAAAATCAATGGGTGGAGTACTTTAATCCAGGAAGTTTAGTGCAAACCTTCAACTCAAAAATAAAAATGTTTTTATCGTAAGAAAGTGACCATCAGAGACTCCTGATGAAGAACTAACCAGGATATGCATGCTCCCCAGCAAAAGCTGCTTTGACTAGGATGGTACAGAAAAATATCAGTGAAAAATACCTCACAGACATAATATTATCTCACCTACCAAAATTACTCTCCTAACTGAATTATTACTTGCTTAAAGCATCAAAATCATGTTATATACACACAACACAAAAACTGAATTAACATGGCCTATAGACTGAATGTGTAGAAAACAACCAGTTCAGCAAATACATTATATATCTAAAATGTCACTAATTCCAAACCCATCATAATTCACATCAATTTTTACATGATTTCTAACAAATCTGATACATTGACCACAGAAAGAATGTTCTCAGAGACACAAACGGGGAATAAGACTGGCTATCCATACTCAGCTTCTGTTCAATGAGCATCATCTTGCTAGTACTTGGGGAAAAAAAAAAAAAATTTTGCTACCATTAACATGTGCATCCAGGATAAGCATGCACGCTTTTATAATTCAATAATTTTAATACTGAATTCAGTTCCATCTCAAAGACAGCTCAGTCATTTTTCCTTCATTATGCACAAATAACTTCAGAGTCCTGAAAATATCAACCTCTTCCTTGGATTAGATTCCTCTTTCACATGTGTATCATCTCTATATCCAGTATACACGTTCTCATGATAAAAATTCACAGGCATACAGATTCTTTTCTTAACATATTACCTTTTCCTGGCAAGAAAGAAAAAAGGAAATAAAGGAAAACAAAAATCTTTTCCTTGTTTGTACAATTCCTCCTCCTTCACCACTTAAAGCAGTTTGAGATGATCATTATTTGAAAGGAACCATGAGAGCTAAACTTTCAGAGTGAAAGGGTGACAGCACCATCCAGTGGCTCTGTAAGGCACTATTTACTATTGGTTTAATGCATGGTAGAAAAAAAAATATGATTGTCCAGATACATACAGAAGTGACTTCTTAGTTTAAATTGTGTCAAATTATATCCTGTACAAATCTAATTTATTTTGAAGTCTATAATAAGGATAAGCATATTGAATTTTTTTACGTGGTTAATTTTGTGGAATTACCTACATTTACCTACATTTTACATTTTATGATACTAACAAAGGAATAGCATGATATTATTAATGGAACAGAACTTTCTCACGGCAGGAAAAGTCTTGTACTTTCTAACTACACTGGTGGGGGTCTTCAAGAGTTGGATGATCCTGATCTCCAACATATCCTCTATGATCTGGGAAAACGTTGAACAGATTGCAGCCTCACATGAGTTAGACTTAACTTCTCTGACAGCTAAAAATGTAAAATGAACTCCAAACTGAATCCCACCCAGAGTGACATCAGCTCTAAAAAAGAGAAGTCAGCTT